AATAAACAAACTTATCAACAAGTAGACAAACCGCACATTCTGAGCTTTCCCCAGTACCGCGGCCTTATTGCCACATCGCGCGCTGGTTGCGAACGGTGCGAACGGTTGCGAACGGTTGCGAACTCTAGAACCACGTAACACAACCTCCACCCCCTTCCTTGGCTGGCTGGCTGGCACTGGCTTTTTGGTTGGTTGGTCTGTTTGTCTGGTTTGACGTTAATTGTTTGCTTCTTTGTTTTCTTGAAATTGTTTTGTTTGTTTGTTTGTTTGTTTGCTGGATTGGTTGATTGTGATTGTTTGTTTGCGCGTTTGCCTTTCTGTTTGCTTACTGTTTTGTACGCTCGTTTGCCCGGAGCAGCCTGCTTGCAGAGAAGCAGCGTTCCCTGACATCATGGGTGCACCGCGTGGCGTCAAGCCGCAAAAGCGCCTGCGAGGCGGAAAAAAGAGCAAGTGGCCAACGGCCGGCCGAAGCGTGGCCGCAGCGCAACGGCGCCTTTGTGGCGCAGGCCGTCGGATGTTGAGGCTTCGCCCGGCAACATGTGCGCGCGCGCAAGAACCGATGGCGATCGCTTGCGTGGCCAGCAGGCTCGATCACGGGCATACGCGAATTTGCCCGCGTCTTGCGCGTTGTTTTCTTGTCACACGTCGCTTTTTGCTCGAAATGGACTTGCGCCCCCTGTCCCCGCAGTGTCACACGCGCAGTGTTGCACGCAGCAAGCGTCGTGTATTTCTCCAACCCACATTTTTCAAAAAAACCTGGTTTTTTGACACAAACCCAGGTTTTTTTCAAATACCTTAAAAATAGTAGGAAACCGTTGTAGAAGGTCTCTGCTGCGCTGGCCAACGGCGAGGACACGCTGAGCATCACGGCCGACTGCTACTCCGTCGCAGCGGCGGACGCGGCCCTCGCGGCTGCGCTGCTGGCCTACTACACCTCCTCACAAGTGGACGCCCTGTTGGGAGACTACCGCACGGCAAGCGCGCAGGACGCGGAGACGACCGGTGCCATTTCGGCCGCGCTGCTGGCCTACTACACCTCGGCGCAAGTGGACGCGCTGTTGGGAGACTACCGCACGGCAAGCGCGCAGGACACGCAGACGCAGGCCGCCATCGCAGGCGCGCTGCTGGCCTACCGGACGGGCCCGGACCAGGATGTTTTCACAACCAACCAAATCACCTCCGCGCTGGTGGCGTACCGCTCGGCCGCCGACCAGGACACGGCAACGGCCTCAAGCATCGCCGCCGCCCTGCTCAGCTACTACACCATCGCACAAGTGGACGGTTTGTTGGCTGGCAAGCTCGGAGTCACGGAGGCAGCCTCGGCCCTGCAAATAGCAGCGCGGGGCCGACGAGGTGGTGGCCGCCATAGGAGAGCAGATCCTGGCCCCCACGGACGTCTCACTGTCAAACTGGACGGTTCGCCCCAGCAGCGGCTGTAGCGTGGTCCTGGCCACGCACACCGCGGGCGCAGCGAGCGTGGACGGCTACACCCTGACCCTGGCAGCGAACCCGTGGAACATTGTGCGCACCTACAACCTGACGCCCGGCCGAGAGCTCCTCTTCGCCTGCCGGTACCGGCTCGGCACGGCCTCCAACTTCGTGGTGTACATGTCCGAGGCCGACAACGTCTACGACCCCTTGTACGGCAGCTTCGTGGGTGACCAGGGCGCCTGGAGCACGGCCAAGATGTACTTCACCGTGCCTCCGAACGGAGTTGCGAAGCTGCACTTTGGGGCGCACTTCCAGGCGCCGGGCCTGCCCAACCAGACGGCAGGAACGGTGGACGTCTACGGCCTCCAGATCCTGGACGCAACCCTGGAGGTCGGCAACACGGAGGAGGAGGAGGACACGGCGGCCTCGGCCCTGCTGCTGAAGCACGAGTTCCTCGACGGAGGGGCCGACGACGTCACGCTGGCCACCCTGGGCGAGGTGCTGCTGGAGCCCACGCTCACCACATTAGGAAATTTTTTGGTGCGCTCCAACAGCCAGAGCTCCGTGGCCTCGCCAGTTTCACTGTGGGAGGCTTCAGCTGGAGGGCTACGCCATGACCCTGAGCGCCTTCGCCTGGAACATTGTGCGCACCTACACCCTGGCGCCGGGGAGACGCTACTCCTTCGGTTGCCGGTACCGGCTGGGCACGGCCTCCAACTTGGTGATGTACGTCAGCGCGGCCGACAACGACTACGTGGGCGTCACCGGCACCTTCCTCGGCACGGCCGCGCAGGGTGTCTGGAGCACGGCGCGCCTGGACTTCTCGGTGCCGCCGGGCGGAGTCGCGAAGCTGCACTTCGGAGCCTTCGGCGGGTCTATCCCCGGGCTGGTGCAGCAGTCGGCGGGCACGCTGGACCTGTACAGCATGCAGATCAGGGCCAGCGCCTTCGAGGGAGACTCGGTCTCCGTGACGGACCTGCTGGCCGACTCGCTGGCCCTCACGGGCTCGGCCACTCTGGACGGACTCACTGCGCAGGGCAACGTGGGCTGCGACCAGCTGCTGTGCAACGACGTGAACTGCACGGACGTGTTCACAACGGGCGTGGACGCCTCGGGCGCAGTCTCCTGCGCAGCGCTCACAGCCACCGGCACCGTCGCCGGAGCCACGCTGACGTCCACCGGCGCCGTGTCGGGCAGCTCGCTGAGCATCAGCGGGGCGGCCAGCGTGGGCCTGCTGAGCTCGGCCACCGGAATCACCGGCAGCACTCTCACCATCAACAACACGGCCAACGCTGGGAACTTCACCACGGTGGGCGACGTGTCCACGGGCACGCTGACGGCCTCAGGCGCAGCAACCGCAGCGAGCTTCGCAGCCACCGGGGCGCTCACGGGCGCCACGCTGACGATCACCGGGGCGGCCTCCACGGGCCCGCTGGACTGCGAGAGCCTGGACTGCACCTTCACGGCCACGAGCGGCGGAGTGTCGACGGGCAGCGTGGTCTGCGGCGACGTGACGAGCTCGGGCACGGTCTCCGCGCCGCAGCTCTTCGCGTCCAACACGCTCACCGTGACCAACACCTCCGACTTCTCGGACGATCTCTTCTTGACGAAGAACTGGGCGGGCTGGAGCAAGCTGCAGATCTCCAACAACAGCGCGGCCTCCAACAGCGGCCCGGAGCTGCGGTTGCTGGGCAACCAGAGCGCGCGGGTCTTCCTGGAGCGGGACGGCGGGGCGCACCAGTGCGAGCTCATCATGATCAACGACGAGGCGCTGGTGCAGACGAAGAGCCTCTCGACGCAGCTGTCCTTGACCACGAACCAGAGGAACCCCGGCTGCCTGGTGATCGCAGGCAACACGGGCAACGTGGTCTGCAACACGAGCTTCACGAATTTGTCGGACAGCAGGGTGAAGACGGAGATGGCCGAGGCCGACGTGGCAGAGCTGCTGCAGCTGTTCGACTCCGTGGAGGCCATGCAGTACAAGCGCCCGGACATGAACGAGGACCTGAGGCTGGGCTTCGCCTCGAACGACTTCGCAGGAACGAAGTGGAAGAACCTGACGGGCACCGCCAGGTGGAGCGACGGCACGGAGATGATCACGCTTGACTACTCGCACCTCACCAGCGTGCTCTGGGGGGTGTGCAAGGGCTTCCAGGCCCGGCTGGACGAGTTGGAAGCCTGGCAGGCCCAGCGGGGGCCGAAGAACAAGTAAACATGTAGGCGCTGAGGGACCTGGCCGACGACTTCAACGTGCGGGACCCGCGGAAGCTGTACCAACTTGCGAGGCAGCGCGACCTCGACGTGACGCAGGCCATGGCCTTCGAGGCACTGAAGGCCGACGTGGGCCGGCAGGTGCAGGCGCCCCGGCCGCGCGCGCTGGGCAAGTCGGCCGCCGAGGGGCCGAACGACCGGCTGCAGGCCGACCTCATCGACTTCAGCCAGAACACGCGGGGGAAGACGAAGTATGGCCTGGTGGTGATGGACGTCTTCACCCGGGAGGCTGCCGTGGAACCTCTGCAGAACAAGAACGCCGAGACGGTCGGCCGGGCCACCAAGCGTGCCACGCAGGAGCTGACGGGGGACGACAAGAACTTCGTGGTCACGACCGACCTGGGCAACGAGTTCGCCACGCTGGACCGGGAGCTGCCCGCGGAAGCCGTGCACCGAACGAAGCGCCCGGAGGACCGCAACGCCACGGCCGTGGTGGACCGGGGAATCCAGACGCTGAAGAAGGACCTGGCCACGCGCGTGGCCCGCAAGGGCGGCCAGTGGAGCGACCACTTTGAGCAGACCGCTTCGGCCTACAACGCGCGGCCCCACGAGACGGTGCATGGCGCCCCGGAAGACGTGGAGAAGCAGCCGGCCACAGAGTTCAGGGTCCTCCAAGACAACGCCGACAGGTTCCAGCACAACAAGGACTTGACGAACCGCCGCATCAAGGCAGTGGAGGACGCGGGCGCTTTCCGAGCACCGACGAACGCGGCGAGGAGCTTCAACCCTCAGTACGGCGACGTGCAGCAGCTGCGGGCCGTGGACTCCATGACCGTCCGGAGCACCGAGGGCCGGGAGACCCTGCTGAAGCTGGCGCTGCCGGCGCCCCAGGGCAGCGGCAACGCGGCGGGCCGACTGACGAGGCGGGGCAGGCCGGCAGCTGTCAGGCAGCTGGACGACTTCCTGGCGCCTCCAAGGCCCAGGACCCTCGACTGATTACGGCTACTTTGGACCAAACTGGAAACTTTGCATAAAGCGCTGGAAACTTGTAGTACTTTGAGTCGTGTTTTTGGGGAACCCTAGCATGATTTTCCTGAGAGCACCCCAAGTCTCTCGGACGACATCATTATAAAAATCTAAATCCCCATGCGTCCGTGTCCTCGACCTATCGACCTGCCCGAGCAAGACGTCGAGACCGCAGAAGCCTCAGGCATTGAGGCATCTAACAAGGGTTGGACATCTGAGGTGCGCTCAAGACAGCAAGGGTTGGACAGTGTTTTCCTTGCGCAAGCACGCCATCTGTTCACGTGACTTGCCGGGTCTCTGCAAATGGCTGACACTGTGCGTCACCCAAAAGCCTAAGAGCTACTTGTCGATGCCGATCGGAGCTTCACACCCACCATGCGCTCATTTTGCTTGAGGGTGGAGATGTACCGCGGGCCATAGGATTGTCCTTTGATCCCCAACTTCGAGATCACGCTCTTTGCCGCGCCCAAGGTGTCCAGGCTGAGGTAGGTCTTCAGCGCCATCGTCAGCTCCGTGTGGAGGCTTGCTTCCTTCAAGGGCACCAGCGCACACATCTCCGCCATGAAGGCCTCGGGTTTGGCCTCCTCGTCCTTGTCTGCACATGGGACCAGGTCCATGGCGCTCATCTTCATCTCCGGTGGCTGCGGCTTGATCTCGGTGCCTGGGTTGTACTCCATCTCCAACGAGTCCACGAGATTTGCCGCAAGGAAGAACATGTACTTGTTGAACTCTCCTTGGTTTATCCGGGTCTTGAGGCCATCCACGGCTCGCTCCTCGGTGGCCATGGACGGCTTCAAGGTGAAGCTGACCGTTGTCTGGCAGACTCAAAGCCGCCGCAGCATCCCATCCGGTCGAGTCACACGGGGAGGGGAATTGCTTGTTGCCACCAGCAAAGCCGTAGGCATGAAGTCCGGGGACCCTTGTTGAGCTTCCTGCTGCAGACTGGCGCACCTTCCATGTCACAAAAGGGCTTGATGAAGTCATCCGCCAACGAGTAGTGCTCGGGGACTTCACTGGCCCAGGCCAGCCGCTTGCCTAGAGTCCTTGCATGGTAAGGCGCGGGTCCGTCCTTCGCGGTCAGGTAGCGAGTCTGCTGCACCACATAGTTTCCCGGAAGCTGCACCCCGTAGTTGTTCTCTTTGTGACCGAGGAAGGCGTGCAACATCTTCACCTTGGTGTCCTTCCCGGAATCCTGGCTTCCCCAGATGTAGTACATCTCGCAGAACCGCGGCGTCGCGGAGATGGCCCTGGTCATGAGACGCAGCTCGTACAGGACGGAGTCCCAGTCCCCGTACACCTTCATGTGGCGGAGGATCTCGCACCCGTCCTGCTCCAATTCCTCGAAGCACTCGATGACCTGTTTGCCATTCTCGCTGGCCTCGAGCAGACACACCCCCGTCTCCACATGCTCCTTCAAGAAAGCCAGGATGTGCTCGAAGAGCTTGGTCGCCTTGCTCGGCTGCCACATCTCTGAGGTCGCCGCCGCGTGGAAGCCCATGCGGTCGGCGGGGATCGGTGATCGGAGGACACGCTCCTTGAAATCGTAGAGCATGCCGTCGCAAAAGAGGATTTTGTGCCGTGTCTCGTCGCCGTCGAGGTCCGCCATCTGCGGGCCTGCCAGACGCCCCAGAACGGACGAGGACAGACCGGTGAAGAAGGCATTATCGTTGAGGGGCGGCGGCGGCACGTAGTTCTCATCGTCTCGAAGACCGGGCAACACATCTTGTTCATCAGGTCTTCCACGGTCTGGCCCAAGTCGTCCCGGTTTCACACCAGCCAGAAGCCTCCCTTCTCGAAGCTTTCGTAGGTGGTCCTCTTCTCACCCCCCTCCACCGGAACGTGTACGACCGGGACCAGCTTCGCCGCCGCCAGCTTCGCAAAGTCCACGGTGTTTGCCCTCGCCCGTCCAAGTATGACGTGCTGCCTGCAGCGCTGGAGCAGTTGGTGGTACCCGGAGAACTCCATCTTCGACTTGAGTCTCCAATCCAAGTTGGGGTACTTCGCCGCCGCGTATGCCCACGGGTCCTCCAGCTCGTGCATGACCACCTCGACATCCACGGCTCGCTTCACGGCCTCGCTCGTGGAGCGGAGGGCCCCGATGCCGTCGTGCTGGTGGTCGTTGAAGGCCCTGCCCGCTGCCGCCGCCATCTTCTCCATCTGCAACCTCTCGTGGTGGGCGTACAGGGCAAAAGGCCCCCGACTCTCTCTTTAGAGGGGGTTTTCCAAATGGCTTATATTCTACCTGAGAGGCTTCTAGCACTCGTCCGTCCAGCATTTGACCTCGTCCTGCGAAGGATTCGAAGTCTAAAACGCTGCGTGCAGGCGTGTGGCTGCAAAATAGAGACCCCTAGATATGCTTGCAATTTGGCTCCAGGTTGCATTTCAAGCGAGCCAACCTTTGCAGGGCTAAGAAAAACCAAAAAAAAAGAAAACAAGGGGTCCCAAAAAAAGGGGTCCCCGAAAAAAAGGGAAAAGGGGTTTCCTTTGGCAAAGCTTGACATCGCTTGAAATGCAACCTGGAGCCAAATTGCAGCGCATATCTAGGGGTCTCTATTTTGCAGCCACACGCCTGCACGCAGCGTTTTAGACTTCGAATCCTTCGCAGGACGAGGTCAAATGCTGGACGGACGAGTGCTAGAAGCCTCTCAGGTAGAATATAAGCCATTTGGAAAACCCCCTCTAAAGAGAGAGGTTCGCCTGAGAACTGCTGAAAAGTCTTCTAAAGAGAGGGATACAGGGAATGCAGGGATTCCCTGCAGAAACCCTGCATTGAAATTCCCCCAGGATTTCTTGCTATACGCTTAATTTCTTCAACACAAGTGCCAACACAATTGCCACTCGTGTTCACATTTCTGCCGCGCCAAGCCGCTATACGCGCTTAATTTCAACATGTCGGATTACATGTCGGATGAACATGTTCTTGGCACTCCGGGTGCGTAAACCCACCCTGCACGCGCCGCCGGCCGCGCCTGCCCGGCATTGCGCCAAGCCGCTGAACCCCCACTCTCCCCCGCGTCCTTGCTATATGTGCTATATGTGCTATATCTTACACGCCAAGCCGCTGAACCCCCACTCTCCCCCCGCGTCCTTGCTATATGTGCTATATGTGCTATATCTTACACGCCAAGCCGCTGAACCCCCACTCTCCCCCCGCGTCCTTGCTATATGTGCTATATGTGCTATATACTCTGTGCGCGAAATCTGTAGTATATGTGCTATATAGGGCCATATAGCACATATAGTACATATAGCATGGAACCCGGGGAGAGTGGATGTTCAGTGGCTTGCCTTGTGAGATATAGCACATATAGCACATATAGCAAGGAACCCTGGGAGAGTGGATGTTCAGTGGCTTGCCTTGTGAGATATAGCACATATAGCACATATAGCAAGGAACCCGGGGAGAGTGGAGGTTCAGCGGGTTGGCGCTCCGTACGCGCCGCATTTTGCATGGTTTTTGCATGTGGAACAGCTTGTTTTTTGCATGGTTTTGGCATGACAGGATTTTGCATGACATGATTTTGCATGGCATGATTTTGCATGGGTTTTGCACGTTTTTTCGCACGGTGTTGCACGTCTTTTCGCATGACATGTGCATGTGGCTCAACCCCGTGCCCCTCCCCCTGTTTTTTTCCTGTCAGGCCGCCGTACGTAGGTTCATCCTGGAGCTGGAGAACTCCGAGGCAGGGCGGTGCCGAGCGGGCACTAGTAACTAAATGTGCCGAGCGGGCACAGTGCCGAGCGGGCACTAGTAACTAAATGTGCCGAGCGGGCACGTGCCGAGCGGGCACTAGTAACTAAATGTGCCGAGCTGGCACTAGACGTGCCGAGCTGGCACTAAACGTGCCGAGCAGGCACTAAACGTGCCGAGCAGGCACTAGACGTGCCGAGCTGGCACTAAACGTGCCGAGCGGGCACGTGCCGAGCTGGCACCGTAGGAGCGCTAAGCAGGCGCAGCTTTGAAGCAGGCGTGGAGGCCACTGTGAAAGTTGAGTGGCTCGCCCAACGGCCCCTTAGTACTGGCTCGCCCAACCTCGTTTGATGGCTCGCCCAACTGGCTCGCCCAAGTACGGGTTCGCCCAAGTACTGGCTCGCCCAACCCCTTAGTACTGGCTCGCCCAACTGGCTCGCCCAAGTACGGGGTCCGCGAGTGCGCAAGACGTTCGTGTCGTACTGGAAGTATACCAGGAAATTGAAAGTTAATATCTTTCAATTCAAATTCCCTGGTGCGGGCAACCGAGGTCGGAATTCCGACTTCGCTTTTTTGCCCAAAAAACCCATCACCGGGCCAGCGCCGAAGGTCCGTCAGCGAGGCTGTCCTCGCAGCATCGCTGACGGAGTGTTTTTTCACCACTCACACGCCCAGCCGTCAATCCTGCTGTGGCAACAGGAGTGCTCCACCCAATCCTGCTGTGGCAACAGGATTGCCCCTTCAATCCTGCTGTGGCAACAGGATTGCTCTCCTGCCGGCATCGGAGCCCGGCCGCGCCTGCCCGGCATAGAAGCCTCCTGCCGAGCCCACGCCAAGGTCGAGATTCTTCCCAGCAAAAAAAATGTCGAGGTTGTCGGCTTAGACGACAACCGTGAAAAAAATTTTCCAGTGGTCCTGTGGGGGACAACTGCCTTCGGCGAACCTGCCCGGCAGAGCCGCGCCAGCCCGCCGACATGGAGGGCACGCAGCTGATGTCTCGCACCAACTACGAAGCAGTGTCCGGTTTTGCCGGCCACTGGCTCCATCGTGCGCAGGTCTCGCTTTTTGACCGGCGAAATCGGTCAAATCAAATTGAGTCACATCCGAAAAAAAAACCCTGGTGCGGGCCCTCTCTACAGAGAGAGGTAGAGGTCTTGGTGAACTTTGCTGAAGGAGCTCAAACGGTGAGCTCCTTCAAATTCGCAGGTCGGGTGTTGCGCTGGCGTTCGCCTGAGAATTTGCAGATTCTCACTGTTTGAGAAACTGCTGAAAAGTCTTCGAAGTGTACGAAAAAAAACACACACATGCCCCGTTACAAATTCCACGCCAACGTGCGGGCCTGGTGCGGGCCTGGTGCGGGCCTGGTGCGGGCCTGGTGCGGGCTCCAAGACCGAAGCCGCGGAGCCGGCCTCGCTCCAAGACCGAAGCCGCGGAGCCGGCCTCGCTTGCAAGGTCGCCCACGGACTGTGACACGTGCGGAAACTTGCGCCGAAGAGGGGTTGGTGTGTTTGACACACCAACAAGCGGCGACGCCTGTGAGGGGGTGTGTCAAACACACCAACCCCCGAATCACAGAGGAAACTTCTCCGAACGGCCGGAACGCCACGAAGGACCTGTGAGGGCGCGCTGCGAAAGTACAACACCCCTGCGTTATGAATTCGTATAACACCTACTCCTAAGAAAACATGTTTGAAGGACCTGTTACAGGCAACATCCCGGAGGTCCTGGACAACGGAGAGGTGACTGACGGCACGCACGTCACCGCAGGGCAGCTGGCCCTGGCTCTCACGCCGTACGCTCAAGTAACGGACCTGGCGGTGAACACGGCCGCCGCCGGCAACAACGCCGCGGCCATCCAGTCCCTGGACGACAGAGTCACCGCGGAGCTGGCCTCCAAGCTGGACAGCAGCGCGCTGGCGCCGGCGATTGCGCCCCTAGCAACGGCAGCAGCCCTGGCCACCACGGACGGACAGGTGGCCGCGCACGGAAGCAGCATCGCCGCGCTGCAGAGCTCGCTGACCACGGGTCTCTCCAACGACGTGCTGGAGGGCGTGGTGGCGACCAAGAGCACCCCGGACGGCGTGGACCTGAAGCTGTCCAACTACAGCACCACGGCGGCCATGAACGGTTCCATCGCCTCGGCCAACAACGCCACGCTGACCACGGTGGCCGCCAACTACGGTCTCAAGACGGTGGTGGACCAGCACTCCCTGGACATAGCGGCGAGGATCACGCCGCTGGAGGTAGACACCAAGGTGGCCAACGCTCTCCTGGGGGCCGCCGCGGCGCTGGCCTCCGAGCTCGCGAGCCGAGACGCCACCATCTCGGGGCTGCAGGCATCCAAGGCGGACGCCAGCGCGCTGACCGCGTACGCGCTGCAGTCGGCCGTCGACACTTCCTCCGAGGTGGACTCTAAGATAGCGGCGGCCCTCCTAAACGCAGTCACCACGGCGGCCCTGGACGCCGCCCTCCTCGGCAAGGCGGACGCCAGCGCGCTGGCCTCCCTGCTCTCCACGGTGGACGGACTGGACACGCCACTGGAGGTAGACACCAAAATAGCAAATGCGCTGCTGGGCCTTGCCACCGAGGCCTTCGTCGCAGCGCAGCTTGCTAGCCGGGACGCCAGCATCACGGCGCTCCAGGCCTCCAAGGCCGACGCGACGCTGCTGGCCTCGTACGCCACGAACGCCGCGCTCTCCGCCAGCGAGACCGCGCTCCAGAGCGCCCTCGACGCAATCCTCGCGGAGCTCGCCGCCCTGCAGCTTTCCGGCGGCGGAGTTGGTAACGCGCCGGCCTGGGCGGGCTTCACAACTTGGGAGCTCCTTCGCGGAAGCAACGTCGTTCGCAACCTGCATTTCGTGGCTCCTCTCTCTGCTGCGCTGGCCAACGGCGACGACACGCTGAGCATCACGGCAGACTGCTACTCCGTCGCAGCGGCGGACGCGGCCCTCGCGGCAGCACTGCTGGCCTACTACACCTCCTCACAAGTGGACACTCTGTTGGGAGACTACCGCACCGGAACGGCGCAGGACGCGGAGACGACCAGCGCCATCACGGCCGCGCTGCTGGCCTACTACACCGCGGCGCAAGTGGACACGCTGTTGGGAGACTACCGCACGGCGAGCGTGCAGGACACGCAGACGCAGGCCGCCATCGCGGGCGCGCTGCTGGCCTACCGGACGGGCCCGGACCAGGACGTGTTCACGACCAACCAAATCACCTCGGCGCTGGTGGCGTACCGCTCAGCCGCAGACCAGGACACGGCGACGGCCTCGAGCATCGCCGCCGCGCTGCTCAGCCCCTACACCATCGCGCAAGTAGACGGCCTCCTCGCCGGCAAGCTCGGAGTCGCGGAGGCAGCCTCGGCGCTGCAGATAGCAGTGCGCTTTCCGGACGACGGAGGGGCCGATGAGGTGGTGGCCGCCATAGGAGAGCAGATCCTGGGCCCCACGGACGTCTCGCTCTC